CACCAAGAGTCAAGATATTATTGTAAAATGATTTGATGATCAAAATTATATTTTTCTTCTCTTTATATGTTGTATAAATGCACGTCAAAATAACACTTTCGCATATTTATTGAGTTTGTCATAAAAAATTGTGAAAGAACAAGCACGATTTTCAGGCAATCTGATTCTCCAGTCCCCTGAAATTGTATCAACAGTGATATTACACCGCGTATATATACTTTTTCCTCCGCAAGATTAGTCGCGTAGTCATATAAACAACTATTTGTTTTGTCAAATATATGTCTATATTATATCGCAGAATCCATTTAAACGATTAAACGTTTAGTTACATTGAAACGGTTTCCATCAGGCATTTCGAAACGGATATATGTTGAACGTTTAAACGTATATTCGAAAAAACAGATCGAAGCCATTAATTCAGATACAAAATCATAATTTGACATGGAGACATCAGAAACGGATTCAAATTCAGATTTAAAGTAAGATTCGAATATGAATGAGTAGTACTATAACGATTTTGAGAAAATTGTTTCTTATAACACATAATACCTTGATTTATTGCGATTGATGTAATTGAATTAAACAATATGCAAATATTATAACAAATTGTACCAAATCAGACTTACGTATTTAGTTACATTAACATTTAATATAGATATTTGACAAAAAGTAAAACGTGTTTTCTCTATGTATTGCGCAGAAATAAATATCAAAATAAAGTTCTCAATCAGATTTCGTATCGAGTGTACGGAAACGCTGTATATTTACTGTGAGAAGGAAGATTTAATTTTCAGCGACGCACACTCCAGTAGTCAATCGAGCGTTATAATTGGACAATTACAGAGACTATGCCTCTCGAACTCTGAGTGTTCAAAGAGTACTAACCGCGATGATGGCTCGAGAGGCACTCCACAGAAGGTAAAAACCCTCCCACGAAAGCTCTTGTACGATCCGTGATTTATCTATTAATCATTTTTACGGTGTAGCTCAATGATCACTTTATTACAATTCAAAAAAATGGAATTATTACAAACAGCCGTGATACGATTTTGTGATAATTCCATTTTTCAGGACTTTTGTTCGAAATCGAAAAATCAAATCAAACATGAGCTGAAAATTAAAATTGTCGACAATTGGATAGGAATTTTAGAACAATGATTTGTGATAAGGTAAATATATCAATTTTTGAATTGTTATTTTCTCTAGACGATTAAAGGGATGTCAAAATGGATAACGAACTTCAAATTAAAATTGTCTAAAGTTTAAACGTCATATCAGATAAACACAATGATGTCCTTTTTATATTTCTTGTACATACAGGAAAACATGATATTTAACAAAAATTTAATCATGAAGGCTATATATATATATATATATATATATATATATAACAAAAATTTGGTTTTCCACTTTTTTTTCTTTAAAATATTTATGTATATTAGTTTCCTCTTTCCTTCTTTTTCTGTTATTTACGCATGATTTCAATAGAATACTTTAATTGTTTACTGTTAGAAACAAATACATATGTCTTACAAAGTGACATTACCCAATCATTTGAATAATGTGGCACATACAAATATCTGGTAATTTAACTTTAAATTTTAACTTTTAATATTTAATATAAAAAATAGTTAGTAGAAATAGTTTTCAATATAAATAATGAAAATTTGAAATTAAATTGTATCATCGAAGTGTCGTGCCCGTGTTGCCGGGACACGAAGAAAAGTTCGAGATCGGTGATGCGGGTGCGGCAGGGTGTGTGGCGGTGGAGAAAATGTAGTAGAGTTTAGACTACCTTTTGTAGTATTATATATATATAAAGGTTTATTTGAATAAATACACTTGTATGTGTTTTAGTTACAACTCCCGTACTTATAAGTTAATATGCGTACCGCGCGTAAGTCACGTATGACGCGGATGTCGCGGCGAGAGACCGAGATGTTAAGCCTGACGCGAGCGGTCTCTCCGCTTTTTTATAGTATTGTTTTAGACTTGTCGGAGGGGGCGCCTGGCGACAAGAACATTACCATATTTGGTAATGGTTCGATACGTTTGGAATTGAGGTCTTAAATGCGGAATGTGCAAGGTGGTGCTTATCGCAGCACTTGCACATCGCTTCCTTGTTGTGGTGCAATCGAAACAATTCCTCGAGAAGTGTTTCGAAAGCGCTGGTACTATTCGCAATTATAACAGAAGTTAAATTAATAAAA